GTCTCCGCGTCCACCTTGAGGGCCTTGGCGCGGTCGTGGATGTAGGGCAGGTCAAAGTTGATGATGTTGTAGCCTGGGGGCCGGGGTGGGGGCGGGGGAGGGTGGGCAACAGGGCTTTGGGTAGGCGAAGGTGGGCGGGCGGTTGCAGCGGAGGCGGCTGTGGGAGCCAGGCAGCATGCTGCAGAGCTGGCGCCGCGCGCGGCACAGAAGACGCGCCTGCCCCCGTGATCGCTGGCTGACCGCCCCCTGCCCCACCGATGATGACGTCAGGGTCTGTCTCCAGGACCAGCGCCGTCCAGCGGCGCAGCAGGTCGCGCTCGTTGTCAAACGACATCACCTGGGGTTGGGGGACAGGAGGCATGATCGAGGGCGCGCCAGGAACAGAGGTGAGCCCAGGACGGGCTGCTTGCAGGTTGCGTGCCGCGGGGAGTGGAACTGCGCATGACTTCAATGTTTTCGCACCGCAGCACGGCTGAGGGAGTGTGGGGGCGGACGCACATCGTACGCCAGGTCAGCGGCTCAGAGAGGGGGGAAGCGCGCCGCTTGCCAGTCGTGGCGGCGCTCACCTCCGCGCCTGGTATCGCCGCGCAGGTGCCGAGTGTGAGGATGTTGCGCACCAGGGGCTTGTCCTGCCCCAGGGCAGTCACCAGGGACGCAATCTGGCGGGGGAGGGGTGGGGTGGGTGGGTGCGTGGGTGACTGGCTGGCTGGCTTCATCCTGTGGACCAGGGGGGTGGGGCCGTAGTTACTCTGGACCAGCACGGTCTTCCCAGCGCATGGCCTGGGCCAGGAGCAGGAGGCGGGTGACCCCAATCTGGCCCTGCGCCCCCAGGCCTTGCATCATGTCAAGCCCCCCCCCCACCCGGCCCCGCTGACCTGGATGACGGGGTCCAGGGAGGCCTCCGGGAAGTGGCCCTTGCGGCCGGCGCACTCAATGTCCACAGACAGGATGCGCAGCGGGGCGATGCGGCTCCACTCGCCTTTGGGGGGATGGGGAAACAAAGCATCCGTTTTCCACCTCGGTGTCGATGCGCGCGTGTCGGTTGGTGGTGGCCCTGGTCACGCATCAAGCAAGCCTCGATTCACCCTCCCACCACACTGGCATGCATCTGTGCCAGCCTGCTCCCGCCCCTGGAGCTGTCCCGCCCCCTGGCCCCTGGAGGCGCACCCTCTGCCGGGTGCACTATGATGCGGTCCCACTTCACGTGCGCCTCGATCTGGCAGTAGGTGGCCGCCTGGTGGGCACGGTATTTGGGGGAGGGGGTGTGCAGGTGAGGTGAGGGGCTAATCAGGAGGCGGCCGCGGGGCACCCTCGGCCTCGTCACAGCAGCTGCCAGAGACAAGGCGGCATGCTGCGCCTTGAATCCCCTCGGTGCCTGAGAGGCAGGAGCTGCCAGCTGCGACACCACGCGCGTGGGCGGCCTGCTGCTGCGCCGCACCTGGTCCTGAGGCACACGCCTCCAGCTGCCTGCCGGCAGCTCCACCCAGCTGCCGCCGCCCATCCCCGTGTCCACCATGAAGCGCAGCGCGTAGATCACGTTGGCCTCAAACGTCTGACGGCAGGCATTTTGGGGGGGGGGTGACGAGGGTGCGGCGGCGTAAGGAGAAGTTGGGGCCATGCAGCAGTTGCCGGGCACACAAGGCAGGGTGGCCCGGTGCGTCGCAATCACTGGTGCGGCGCCGCCGTCCCTGCTGGCTTGGCTTTTCCCATCTGGTTGGGAGGGTGTTTATTCCTGCCAACCTCTCAAACAATCAGCCAGGAGAGCCCTGACCTGGCGCCTGCTCACCACACCTCCCCCGTCTACGATTCACTCCCCTCGGAACTGCTGAACTGCTCAGAACCAACGACCCCGCGCCGCCGCCCACCTGCAGGCGCAGCCCTTGGGGGTCGCCCCCGATCCTCAGGCTGCCGTCCTCCAGAGCACCTGGCAGGGCGCCACGAGCCAAGTCGCGAACAAACACAAGCAACGCCGTGCCTTGCACACGTGCATGCTGCTGCCTGCACACCTGACCGCAACCGCGCCAGCTGTCGAGTCTGCCGATGAGCGGGCCGCACTCTCATGCTGAGCGCCTTCCCCCCTCCGACGGCTTCGGTCCGCCCCTGCAGCACGTGCTCTGTGCCCCCCCGGCGCCCTCACCCTTGGCCGCGGGCACGAGGTTGGGCATGGCCACCGTGATCCTCAGGTACGTCTTCTGCCGCCCACCCTGGTAGGTCCACAGGTCGGCCCGCTGCACCGCCTCCACCCTTGTGACCGGCGGCACGCCCAGGCCGCCCTTGCCGCGCCCCTCCATCAGGCGCGGGTGCGTCTGCAGGCGGGGGCACGCCGACGGGTCGCGAGGCTTGAGCAAGGTGGCCGATCAGCCTGGCGGCGGCGGCCGCCGCGCCTCGCAGCTGCGCCCCTCGACTGCTGCTTGGATGCCACAGGGCGAGCTCTGATCGCCTCACGTGCTCTTTCAGGGGACACCTCTTTTTGACCCTGCTGCGCCTGCTGGAGCCAGACTCCCAGCCCCTGCCACACATCCCGTGTCGCAGCCACCCTGCCATGTGCCCTCCGCAGCCGCACCCTTCCTGCAATGACCCCCACCCCCCTCACCCTGAGGGCCTGCAGCAGCTCCTCATAGTGCTCAGGCACCCAGTGCGATGGACATTCGCAGAAGAAGTAGGGCTCAAACCCGTGGACAAAGACGCACACGCTGTTGCCTGGGGAGGGGGCGGGCATCGAGGCGCTCAATGCATGCCTCCCCCTGCTGCCCTGCAGTTGTGACACCCCTGCAGTTGCCTTGGTCTACGCCCACAAGCTGCACACAGACGGCTGGCCCATCACACCGCTCAAGCGCGCAAGCATCGCTCAAGCATGCGGTGTAGAGTTAATAAGCACCCTTGCGACGCCACTGCAAGCCCGCAATGCTGTTGCAACACAGCGCCAGCCCCGTGGTCCCCAGCCGGGCGTCACTTCCTTGGCAAACACCCCAAGGACCCAACGCAACCAGCCCGCCACCCACCCGCGTCGTTGACGCCGTACATGCGCACCACCGGCACCTGCTTTGCCTGCGTGGGCCAAACGTCCGTGCGTGGGCGGCCCACCGTGTAGTCCACCTCCAGCTGCTGGAACACTGCTCGCGTCAAAGGGGGATAGGGGGGGCCGCAGCCGCAACTTGTCCGGGGATGGGGCATGGAGGGGTTTATACATGAGTGGCTTCTGCTAGGAATGTGCTGCTGTGGCTTGGTAGCGCACCGAGGCCTTGCTGACGTTGCACCATGCTGCATTTGCAGCGGATGGGGCATTCCCGCACGCAACCCCGAACTGCAGCACCCACATTTGAATGTGGTGACCACTTGTGTTTTGGTTTAACACTATACGCGTGTCGTGCCACCCTCTGCGACTTGGCCGCACTCACCCAGTGCATCACAGCCCGGCTGCAGGTTATTCACAGGCGGCCGCAGCCAGTTGCGGCCAGCCTCGCACAAGTCTGGCTCCGCTCCCGCCAAGCTGCCCTCCTCGGCGTCCGGCATGTACTCTTCCGGCATGTCATCGTCGTTGAACATATCATCCTCATCAATTAGGTCGTCAAAAGCTTCGTTCGCAGGCCCTCGTTTTGTCAGAGGGGGCGAGGGGCCGGGAGGGCCCGACGCCATGCGCTTGCCGGCGCCACTCATATTATTTATGATCTAATAAACCTTTACTATACTCCACAGTCTGCTGCTCTGCAGTGATCTCAGGCGCAATTCGAAGTGTTGTGCTGCTCTGAAGTAAGGCCTGCTTCCATTGACGTGTATGAAGGTTTTATAATGAAACCGGGAGGTTTGCCAATTTTGTACGAAACGATCTGGATCGGGAGAAAGCGCGAAATTGTTTGAAAGCAGAGTGACTGCCGATCTTGAAGCAGCTTGCGCGTTTAAAGGTCTTCGATAGATCGCGACTGCCTCGGCCACAACCTGGATCATCGCAGCATCTTAGCGGCTTGAGGCGCTGGCACCAGGCTGACGCTGACTTCCCGCACTCGCTTTCAAGCTGTAGCTCTAGCTAGTCATTGAGTGCCTGGCCTAGCTGTTCTCCATGAAGCCACGCCACCGCTAACCACCACCTGAAGCCCCACTGTTCAAATCAGGAGCCTTCATCACCTGGACTTCACAACGCTCGTAACTCAACAGCAAACCGAATCTGATAAAACTCAACCACTGGGTCGAGCAAGGGAGCATGACATCAGCACATCCACAATGCATTCGTTCATGATGTAGAGGACAAAAACAAAGACATCAAGATGACAGCAGGTGGCAGCCAGTCACCATCAGCCCATGCGCCCATCATTTGCGAGGCCGCCCGTCATCATCGAGGGACACCCACTCCGCATCCACCACCGGGCCCGTCCGGTCCCAGCTGCTGCTGCCCCGCTTGCCGCTGCCACTGCCGTTATTCACCCAGCTCGCCCGCTGCTGCGCCTCATCGCGCTGCTTGCGCCTCTGCTGATCCGCCAGGAAGAGGGACAGCGGCACGCTGACCCACCAGCCGAGCCAGATGAGGTTCAGCAGCTTGAACAGGGTGCCGCTCAGGAGCAAACCCACAAAAAGGAACGTGAAGGCTGCCTTGCCCTGCAGAGTGGAGATAGAACAAGGCAGGGTGCTCTGAGGTAGAGCCATACGTGGTGGCGGGGTCCACAGGGCAGGGCCCGGTGCAGCGACATGACACGTATCCGCGTCAGATGCCTTGAGTTCCGCACTCTGAGACACGAGGACACATGTGCGGATGTCTGGCTGCACCGTCACTAAAACAATCCGTCCCAAAATGCTCACCTGCGTGGTGGCGCCAAACTCCTTTGTCCTGCGGGCCCAGATAGGCGCCAAACGCTTGACGTCCTCGACAACAGCGCGCACCTTGCGGCGCAGGCCGTACTGCTGGTCAATGTCCTGCACATTTAATCGGGGTAGGATTACCGCATGAAGCGCCCGAGAAGCCAGAGAGTAGCTGCATTGTTTTTGACCATCGTATGCATGTCGCGAGCTTGGCTCCTAGTCGCAGCCGCTAGGAACCACCAAGCACTGACAGCAACGACACGCCTGCTGAGGCGGCTTCCATGGAACGCCCACCTGTGCCGTCTCGTTCAAGCGGCCCTGCATGCTGTTGAGACGCCCACTCAGGTCCCATTCCGCATCCAGCCGCATGTAGTTGGTCCGCACGCTCTCACTCGCATCCGCATAGGCGGCTGCGGCCTTCTTGTCTAGCTCCCGCTCCCGGACGAAATCCGACACCTGCCGCGTCGTGCGCCGCGCAAAGTCCTGCGCCTGCTTTGCCAACTCCTCTGCGCTGGGGGGCCCCTGCTGCTGCCCCTGCCCCTGCACAGCACAACACAGCAGCCGGCCGCTGCGGCGCCAGGAAGCCGGTCTTTCACTAATCGCAATGCGAGGCGTCCGTTGTAGCAACGCTTTGCTGGCGGCTCGGGCCTGCACGCGGACAGGCGTGTGCTGCAGCATGCCTACGGTTGGCACGTGTGAGGACAGGGCGGTTTTGAAGGGAGCACGCAGTTCGTACGTGATGCTGCGGGCTGCACACGCATGGACAGGCGCGCAAGCTAGCTGCGTGGACCGCATGCGTTAGCGCAGGCGCTCCCCCTGCGCCGTGGCGTCCACTTGCACTTTTCCGCGCATTCAATTGAACAACTCTTGCCTGCTGGCTTGCGCTGGGTGTCTCGTGGTGGCCTTGTACGTGTCGTGCTGCAGTGCCGCTTGTAGCGGTTCCAACACCACAGATCGCCGCGTCGTTTGATGGGAAGTAATCAACGAATACCAATTGTTGATTGTGCCGATTGACTTCAGAAGTGCAACCCAACGCGCACCAGTCTCACCCGAACAGGGCACCAAAACATCAAGCGCCACCTATCTGATCCAGGCCGCACCTGCTGGGTAGGCTTCTCCAGCAAGCTATAGACTCTACCAGCAGTCACTCACCACAGGGACTGCGTTGCTGCCTGCGCCTGTGCAGTTGCTCGCCTATTGTGATCCCGTGCAATGTGCCCCGCGCGACGTCCGCCGCAGGTCCCGTCCACCTCGCGCGATGGCGCTTCGGCCAGTGCAGGTGGAGGACGCGATTGGAGAGTACTTCGACGGGCTGGTCAAGCAGCGTGCCACCGCTCAGGTGCGGTGCGCTGCAACCTGCTGATGAGCTCAAGCACGGCGTGCTGAGGGCGGGGGCGCGACGATGCCGCAGACACGCAGCGTGCAATACCCAGAACGCCGACCATGCTGCGGCACCGCTCTGCCGCGCTCCAGGTGGGGCTCTTGATAGGTAAGCCCGTGGTGGGGTCACGCAGCCTGCTGCTGGCGGTTGTGCCGTCGCCCGAGCAGGTGCGCGCGGGTCCTACCCCGTCATCAAGGGAGGACGGGGCGGGCAGTGGCACGACAAGCATCGGAAGATGGTTGCAGGCGCATCAAAAGCTTGCAGGAGTCGTGGTCGCTGTAGTAACGGACAGCGGCGCTGCTCTTGCGACATTCTGCGCCACCAACTGCCGCTTCCCAGGAAGGGCAGCCCGCTGTGACCATCACAGGTGGCGCCGCCTCTGCCAGCGGCGGCGGTGCCAAGGGCAAAAAAGGCGGCGGCGGCGGGGGTGGCAGCGGTGTAGGTGTGCAGCTGGAGTCTGATTGGATTGCGGAGCATGCGCGGCAGGTGTCACGGATGCTGCCTGGCGGGTTGGAGGTGCTGGGGCTGTACCTGCTCGCACCAGACGCAGCATGGGGCGCAGCCGCCGGGCAGCTGTGTGCTGCGCTCGCCACCATGTCGGTCGACGCACGCGCCGCGGTCGGGCCCAGCGGCAGTAGCATCGAGCAGCTGCTGCTGCTTCACATTGACGCGACAACGCGCAAGCTCATAGCACGCGGCTGCGCCGCTGCCCCTGCACCGGCGCCCGCGGCGCTGCGCCTGGTTGAGTTAAGGGCGGGGTCGGCGGCCGGCAGCCTGGTGCGGCTGACGGCGCGGCACTCGGTCGACGCGACGCTGCCGGCCACGGCCGCGGTAGCGGGCAGCGGTGGCAAGCCTAGGGCTCCCAGTGGCAGTGCAGGTGGTGGGCAGCAGCTGCAGCGCCTTGCAGAGGCGCTGATGACGGCAGAGGCGGCGCGACTCGCGGCGGCGGTAGCAACGGTCGGCGGCGTCTTGCCGGCAGAGGGGGCTGCCTTGGGCGACGTGCTGCCACCAGAGGCCCCCGGCGGGGACACCAGGATTCCAGCGGCCGAGGCCCAGCTCTACTGCACCCTGCCTGCGGCCTCGCCGATGGACAGCAAAGGCGCAACCGCGGCCGCCGTCGCCGCGGCGGCGGCGCCGCTGCATGGCAGCTGCACTCTGCGCGGCGAGGTGGTGGGGGTGGCCTACGTCCACCGGCGCGAGCCCGCGGCCAGGGCGCTGGCAGAGTTGCGGGCCGACGTCGTCAAGAGCCTGCGGGCGCGGCTGGACCTGCTGACAGAGGAGGCCCTCGCGGCCGCGGACGAAGCCGAGGCCGCGGCAGAGCAGCGGGAACAGCAGGGGCAGGGGCAGCAGAAGGCTGCCGCCGCGCCACACCCGCTGCTGGCAGCAACAGACGCGGGGCGCGCCGCGCACCTGGCGCTGCCGCGGCGCGTGCTGCTGCCGTGGCGTGTCGCGGGAGGTGCGGAGCTGCGGGTGTGCGACTACCTGTCAGAGGGGGAGGGACGCGAGGAGGCGGCGGCGCGCGCACAGGAGCTGCTGGGCCTGTCGGAGGAGGAGGCGCCAGCCTCAGCAGTAGAGGAGCTGGAGGCACCCGCGGCGTCAGCCGCGGCTGCGGCCTCAAGGAGGGGGGCCGCCCCAGCAGAGGTGCAGGGCTCCGGGGCGGCGGCAGGGGCGGGGT